CGGGACGCGCCGTCGGGCTCCCCGGGAGGGATGCTCCGGGACGAGACCGCAGGGGCGACCGGGGAGGAGCGGGGTCCGCCAGCGCCCCCCCATCCCATCCCGGTGCGGCGCTCGCTGCGCGGAGGGGCTTCCCGGGTGGGAGAGCGGAGAGGGGGGATACGGGTGTATTCGGGGCTGCGGAGGAAAGTGATTAATTAATACGTCTGTGGCGCGGCGCCGGGAGCGGAGCGGGGATGGCGACCGGCGCGGAGGGGGCAGCTGCCGGCGGGCAGAGCTGCGGGCAGGGGACGGGGCAGGCTGCCCCCCCCAGCATCCCCTCCCAGCTTTGCTTTTTAGGCAACTGCTGCTGCTTTCTGCTGGTGGGTTTTGGAGGAGATCTCTTCCCTTCCAGTCCTTGTTACTGAACCCGGAATTCTGAATCCCGAATCTCGAATCCCAAGCCAGCGCCAGCCCAAGTGAGGATGCTTTCTGCCGGTGCTGGGGGCCGGGAAGCAAACTGGCAGGCTGGGTTTGGCTAAAAGTCCCTTCCCTGCCTGCTTCCCCACCTGCCGCTTCCAGCACAGCGAGTGCTGACTTGCAAGGAGGGCATCACTCTACCCTGAGCATCCCCAAAAACGTGCCAGCATTACACAAGGCAGTCGTGCTACGAGGCAGATTTCGCGGTGGCCCCCAGGATGTGCTCTGCGATGGAGGAAATAACATATGCGTTCACAGAGGAGAAGGAGAGTAAATTGCTAAGACATCTGCGTGTCTTAGAAGTTGCTTAGGTATCATGGGAGGAACCCCCAGTCTGCCCCATCGTTACTATTAAAGCCTTGGATATTAGTGACTCCATGGCTAATTAAAAAAAAAAAAGAAAACAGAGAGGAAAACGGTTTCCTTCTAATACAGAAGTGATGTTTCGGAGCTGCGGTGAGCTGCAGCTTGCAAGCTGGCAGCAGCTGGCTGTTGGCTTGCAGAAATGCCCTGCATGCCTGGGACGCGCGGTGCTACACGGATGCTACGTTTCATTTTCAGCCGGCCCGAACGCGAGAGCGTGCGTGGCCAGGCCAGCATCGCCGTGCTGCACCCCTGTGGCAGGCTGAGGGCTGATGCTCTGGCAGTCCCTGTCTCTCGATTTGCTCTTTTTATCTTGAAGGCAAATGACATTAAACAACCCTAACCGAGGCCTAACCGTGACACCTCTTGCTAACCCCAGCAGGTATCCTTATGGAGTCTAATCCACTGCTTTATTCATGCGGTTGAGCTGGGAAATACGTAACTGCTGAGGAAATGCATTTGGTGAAAACCTGGCACCCAAGAAGCATGTGGCCGGTCTGTCACTGACTGCGGTGGGGTGAGAATTGCTGGTGGTGACGATGCTGGTCAAGTGCAGCCAGCAGCAGAGGTTATTCTTCCTCCCCGATGCAGGCCAGGATTACTGCTTCCAGAGTGGATGCACTCCAGGTGGATGCTGGTGATCCCAGGAACAGACCTGCCAACATTTCTCCTTTGGTGGGATGGTGTCGGTGGGACCCTGCTTGCTCAGCGTCATTCTGTGTTGCTAGTCACAGCGACTACTGAATACTCTGATTTTGAGTCTGAATTTGGCTTGAATACAAGCATTTGCTTATTTAAGTAACCAGAACAAAGCAAAAAATGTGTTTTTTCTTCCCAACGAGCAACCTTTTTCAATAGGAGCTCTACCATAGCAGCCCCTCCTGGGCAGCTGGCTGTGGCTGTGCTGCCATGCTAGGTCTGCCCAGCGCTAAAACAAGAAAACGTGGCCAAGACAAGCCTGGGATGACTGCTTGAATGAGACAAGGTGCAAAACAGGACAAAGGCAATGGACAAATGCGGGAGCCAGGGGAATCTCTTCATACCTTGTCCAGGTACTGATGGCCAAAGACTGGGTAGGGATCTTGCAGGGACCTCCTGGGTCACACGCTGCCTTCCCTTGCTGTTGCAGTCGTATCAATATGTCCCATATGTTTATTAGGCTTGACGCTGGGCTGCTTCTGTGGGTTCTGCTGAAACCCATCCCACACCTCTTTGCTCTGAAAATCAGAAATCAGTTCATCCCCAGCCTGAATGTATCAATGGCTTCTTTACACCTCCACAGCTTTTGGCTTGGAGCTTTCGCAAGGTTTTCTCATGTTTTCTCCCCTTCCACATGTCTCTCAGTAGCAATTATATCCCCTTCAGCCCCTGTTCTGGTAGTCTAAATAAGACCAACTTTTGGTAGTTTCCTCTTGTAAGATAAATCCTCCTTTCTTTGACTGTTGTAGTTCTCCTTTATCGCACCAGTTTCAGTTCCTCTGAAAGACAGGGGAGAAGGTTTTCAGAGCCGTGGCTGGGATTTCAGGCTTAAGATCAATGGGCCTTTTGTTTCAAAATCCAATTCGGAGGGCTTTTAAGAACATATCTGATCATTACAGCGAGCATCTCAAATTTTGGAGCCCAAGCCTGTTATTCAGCTACAAAACAACAACTCTGCTGACTCCAAGAACTTGTACGAACATTTATAATCACAGGAGGGAACCTAAAAGCCATTCAAACAACAGATAAGATTAGTAACGAAAGTGGCTGGGGTGCAATTGTTATTGTGCAAGTCAAAGAAAAGGCTGTCACACACGGAGGATGTTGCCAAGGAAGATGCATTCGAGTTGCCGAGCCATCCTTCTCCCATCCGCTGTCCGGATTCTCCTGCAGTCTTCCCAGATCTATTCAGGCTTAGTTGGGTGATCTGCTGGATTAGGAGGTGACTGAGTTTAGACTTGCCACTGGACACAGCTTTTTGCCAGGATGTGTCAGACCTTTGCTCTGGTCCAGTCCTTGTTCAGTGCTCCCGCTGTGGAAAAAGGAGCGTATTCTGGTTCAGAGTATTTCCTGAGCCATGATGGGGCTTGGAGCAATAAAGCAATCAAAGCAAAGTTCCCATTACCATCTCTCAGAGCCAGAGCATTTAGAAGGCAGTTACAGCCACATGGGGATGTCTGAAGTTGTGCAAAGGCTTAGACCAGCCCCTGAACTGGACCATATTACAGGACGGTGAAAGCTTCCTTTGCTTTGCATCTGGGTCCTCTTCAGAGCGTGCCTTTGGAGAGAGGAGTTCAGCATGGCTTGTGCACTGTCTGCGAGGCGTTGGTTGCCCCGTGAACAAGCCCCATCGTGTGCAGTGAACAAGAAACTAGCACACCACATATGTAAGTCATTTATGAAGACAGGAATGATGAACTGTGCACACAATAGAGTTGCTATTAGGTCTGTCGATCCTAATTAAAAAAATACTTCTCAATGAAAATTATTTATAAAAAGGAATCACAGTGACCCTAAATCAAATTATTTGTGAATGGTTTTTAGTCTCCCAGATCAGTTAAAACTCCTGTGTTAGTCACTGGACGTCATCCAAACTACATGCTGAATGAATAACATGTCTGCCAAATTTCTTTTTTTTTTCACCCTCGCCCAGTTTGGCACAGGACAGTTAAAGTCATTTTTCTAAATATCTTTCAGAACATCAAGCAGCTGTAAAATAACAATGGAAAAGCTTGGCCACGGTTAACTGCAGCCCTCCAGTTGTAACCGCTTCTCTCAAAAAAAGTCACTCCGGTTCCTTTGATGATCTCTTTTGGGTGAGCGGCGAAGCAAGGTTTCCCCTATGGGGGTACTGGAGGGTCACTGCCTGAGGGGTGACCCTGATAGGGAGCCTGGCTTCCAGGTGTTCAGGAGTGGGGCACAGCTGGATCCAGGCTGGCCCTGGGTAGAGGGTTTGTGTCCTTCTGGCCACCTGCTAGAGACTGACATCCCGAGGACATACCAGCCATTCCTTGTCCACAACTGCAGTTCCCATGGCGAGCTGTAAAGACACCTCTTTTGCTCGTTCTTCAAAAAAAAAAGGGGGGGGGAGAAGGCAACTGGTGACTGCACAATGGCAGAACAAGTTCTTGCTTCTTGTGTCTGCAAAGATAAAGTGCTAATTCTTCTAAGCATCATGTGAAGTCCCATCCAAGTGAATTAAGTTTGGGATTGTTTTCATGATGGCTTGTTCCAATTATGCAGCGTGCTTTCTCTTTTTCCTTGACTGGCCTGCAAGTCTCCCCGCTACCCTTTTCTCAGCAAGCTGGCTTCCTCCTCCTCGGTTCTTTCTCTTTCTGATCATGGAGGATGCTGCGGCAGCGTCACCTGCAGAGAGGGAGGATCCTTGCCAGTTCTTGGTTCCCAGGGAAGTTAGAGGGAAGCGTGGTTCTCTACTCCCCACATAATTCAGTAAGTGCTGGCTGCTGTTCTGTTGAAAACTAGCAACAAATGGCCACCAAATTCTAATATTGCTGGTTTTCAGTGACAACAATTTATAAAACCAGGGCCCTCTGCTCCTTGCCTCCTAAGGAAGAATAAGGAGTAGAGCCCAGCATCATGTACAGTACTTAGGAAGGGTTATGCAACCCCTAAATGTGACCGTGCCCTGGATCGACACCAGCAGTCT